GAGTTGCGCCCCTCTTCTAAATCCATGGGAGTGTCCTGAGCCAACACCTCAAAGGTAGGTAGGATGTCTTTAGTTCCCAGCAGAGATAATGGAGAATGCATTGTAGCCTCAATGGTCGATGGGAGACTCATAGGTCGGGGACTGGCTAGGCATCCGTAATAGACGTCAAGGGCCAGGCCAGGCAGAGCAGGAACGATCTGTTTCTTCCGACCCTCATCAACATTGATGGTCCTCAAAAATTGTAGCCCTAGAGCTGGAGCAGCAGATCGCTTAGCAGAGGACACCAACCACGCACGGCATCGCGTTCCAGTGGCAGGAGAGTTGTAGTCCTCATCTTCTGGGTCATCTAATCTGAACTTCAGGGTCTTGTAAAGAGCCCTTTCTCCAGATGACATCCTGGCCAGAAAGGAAGGGGTTGACGAGCTAGCCTTACGTACAGGGACCTGGCAGAGGAAACTGGGCATCTTGCTTTAGATGGTCCTAGCGAGGGGATGGGTAGTAGACCATGAACTTGCCTCTACCGTAGTCGCACTCTCGGTTAGTAGTACAGAGGATTCAGGCACAATGGCTTGAGAGTCTTTGAGTGGGAAGAGTGCGGGGACTCAAGAGTATTCTGAGCTGTAGTCAGAGTTGAACCAAACAAAGAGCCCTGTAGTAGTGTCCTTGTCCAGGCCACATGTGGCTGAACAACCTCTCCCGATTAGGAAACTCTTCACCAAAACCTCCACTTCTTTCATCATGGCAATGCTTGTGTCAATGACCATCAGCCGAACCAAATCATCAAACTGCGGATTCACCGCATTCTGACACCTGTGATAGTGGTGAAACTGTAAGAAACTAACATTTCCTTTGGGTGCGATGTATGACCGTGTAGTTGTGGGGATAAGGCCACGGTCGGCCTCAGTAGCAGGCGCAAGAGACAAGGCCATACAGGCTGTCTCAAGCAAGGGGGATGGGTTGGAGTCGAACCGAACAGGGGACGACATCCTCATAGGGGGGGAAGAATCCGTGGATGAGGAGGCTGTTGAAGACACCATCCTTGCCCAAACTATACTCAGTGATTACCGGGACCAGGCCACAAATATCTCACACTGAAGTATCTTCTAAGCAAGAACAACTACTTCTAACCGACCACCTAAAACAAAAAACACAAACAGGTAACAGCAGATGAAGTATTTATCGCGAGCGAAATAAGGTAAAGTATTAGTTATGCTCACTTCCAACACAGAGTGCAAGAAGTAGGAAAAGTACTTAGAACAAAGCGTAAAGAACCTATCCTCCTCAGCCATACCAGCCTCCTTATATAGTATTCTTCCCGCCTGTAATCATGTGACCTAAAGTGGTCACATGTGCGAAATCAAATCATAACAAACTAGTCATATAACCAAAGTGGTCACATGCTTAAAACCCATGACCTCATAGCAAAGTCATATGCAAAAACTCATAAACCAATCATAACACAATAAACAAATCATATGACTCAAATGAGTCACATGTGCAAAACCCATGACCTCATAATAAGGTGATGTGCTAAATGTAAATCATATGCACAAGGCATACCCGCAAGGTACACTTGCAAGGCATATTCGCCAGGTACACTTTCCATAACTCATATTCGAGTCATGTGTGAAACATATCAACCTAAAACATCATATGACTCAAATATGTCATATGTGTAAAACCATAACATACCTATAACTTATAATTATGCATCATGTGAAAACCTTTTCCCTGCCAAGCCACATTCATGATACAGACCTTAGCTATCAGTCAGATTCTAAGTAGAGTGTAGGTGCACTTTTGATCCTTCAATTATCATGAGCCGAAAATAGAATAAAATAATAATACTAGTATCTGGCTTGCATAAATTGGGACTAGATTGAGTCTATTTAGTTCTAGACCAGATCTGAGATTAATGCGATATTATATCAGGATCCAAGTAAGAATGCATCTACCCTCTGAATGTACCCAGATGTGGGTCAAATGCAATATCACATCCAGATCCAGCTGAATATGACGAGGCAGCTTTAGAATATTAGGGTATAGTAGTCATTGCAACTGATACTAGGATACACAAGGAGGAGCAGATGCACTATCAGCATCACTTGCATCAGAGTACAACAAAAACATATCAGATACAGTATTTTTTTTTACTAATAACATAAGGAAAAGCTGCTCAGATTCAGAAGACCTAATGAGCGGTAGATATAGAGTAATAGCATGCTGTCTCTTGAGCCTGTATCATGCATAGGTGCCTAATACATAAGCTGGCCTCTTTGTGTATTCAGAAGAAAGTACTAGAATGATAGTCAAATTGACTGAAGGTTCGAAATAATGTCTATTTGACTTTATAAATCGGAAACCATCAGTTGAAAGATAAAAGCACATCCTCTGGCAATGAAGATTTAATTATAAAAGAGTACAAAGATAGTGTGAAAGAATTCAGAGTCAAATGATATCCGCACTTGTTAAAGACCAAGGACTATTAAGTATAAACTGATAAAAGATACTTAGTTGTATAGTAGTTAGAAGTAGTCCATGAATACTGAAACACAGGATATAAATATTGAAGTGCCTTCTGAGCTTTACAGACATGATCAAGCAACAGGGAAAAGATCTTAATGATATAACATTGTTTTATAAATGAATCCTCATCACAATATCTTTACAGTTCTCTTAAGAGAGTTCTTAGTAGTCATAAATGAAAAGAACATTACTAAACCTTCCTAATCAATCTCTATCTAACACCAAATATTCTAGCCTATATCTTCTCAACACATATTTGGATTGGCTTCTACCTAACAGCTAAAGAATTTTCAATAATTATGATGTAATAGAAATAGACAGTGTCAACTTGTAGAGTTACCCCTCAGGAAGGATTTTGATAGAACAGATGCAAAATTGTAAATGTCCAAAATAGAAAACAGTTTAAGAAATAAGAAAATATTCACATACTCTTTCCCATAATTCAAAAATTACACCTATTAACAAAAAGAGAACAGGAAAAGCCTTTTAGATGACTGTTTTCAGATATATTCACAGATATTTTAGGAGGTATTTGGCAAACGTGATTTGGATTTGAAATAACAATTTAAAAGTGTGATTCGGCCTAGGGTTTGTAAATGTGCTTAGAATGATTGACATTTAGGGCTACATGTATTAGGAATACCTGGATCCGATACCCAGGAGTTACCCTAAGTAGGGTAACCTCACCCAGAATCGGAATCTCTGGTCTCTAACACCTCCCTCTGACCCCCTTACAGGGCCCACACATCATCATACATATATATCTCAGTTGTATCCTGTGACTATAATACCATAGAATTGAAGGTATCAGAATAATACCATATACGTCGCCACTGTCAGTCCGACCGGATCTTGTTCACGATATATATGAGTGGGACCTTTGGCTAGGTCTGAGAAGTGGAATATAGTATATCCGTCAACTACTCAGAGGATTACTAGGCTTCAAATATATTATACCTTTGGCATGGACTGTAAGTAATGAGACGTTTTCGCACAAAGTGATGGTATTGAATGGTAAAGGATATCAGCAAGAGACCAATACATTCATATCCACCCTACAATATCTGAAAAAGTCTAGAACTCCAAGGGACACTACCATAGAAGCTATTGGACTTCACAGAGTGTTGCAACTAGGTTTCAGAAGACATTGTAGTTCCGAGGATAACTTTCAATATAACAACAGTGATTGAAATCCTGTTACCCAGAGCAACCAAGGGTTGTCGACCAAGGGAATATTTGTCAATCCGGTAGAATAGATTTCTGTGAATTAATAGGAAGTCCTCCGAAAGACATCTATCAGTTGGGTAAGGAGTTATGGTGGTTTAAAGTCAGGCAACCTGAAAAAAGGTTGTGATTACAACTACCTTCGCAGATGCAACCCGCAGATAAAACTGATCATTTCATCAATAACAGAGATAATTGGAGCCAACTCAGTTCGACTTGGGAACTAGGCCACAAGTCTGAAGACTCTAATAATCAGATAACTACTATTGGAAACAGTATAGTTCTGAGTTAGTTATATTGTAATTGTAAAAGAGGTTGTGGTGATTTTCAGGGTCTGCAGGTGTTCGCACCTTTCAAGAATACCCGACATTGCGAATTATAATCAGAGTGGTACATAGTTGTATGATAAATAGATGTAGTCCGTGAACACTCAGACGTGGAATATAAATATGGAAGTGCCTCCCAAGCTTTAAACATAATTAAGCAACAGAGAAGAGACCTTAACAATATAATATTGTTTTACAATTCTATTTTACCTTACCAAATTTACTTCGCTCTTAGTAGTCATAAACGAAACGAGCGAACTCAAGCCTTCCTAGACAATCTCCGTCTACAGAAACAAATCTTGATTTGTCCAGACAATTCTGAAGTCTATCAGATTGTCTCCGCCCAACAACATGTATGTTAATAACTTATATAAGTTTAGTATTTTTGTCTATTTGGAGAAATGTTTAAAGGTTAGGGAGATGAAATTAGATTATAGTTATTTCAAAGGTAAAGAATAATAAAAGAAGCTGATCAGTACAGAGAAGGTAATTAGAATAAAGAGTTGATAATCCTCCTTCCCTCATATAAACATTTACAACAATATCTTAGAAACAATTAATTTATAATTATTATTTAATCACTTTATCCTCCTTTAAAATATAATATATTATAAAAATACAAAAGCAATATACTAATAATATTACAAAAAAACTAGGTTATATGTATGATTCAGTCAAGAGGTGTTTGGCAGCATATGTTTTCAAATTATGATTTTAGGATTTAAGCATGTGTTTTCAGATCACAAAATCTCTATTTGAAATCCAAATCACGTTTGTCAAACACCCCCTTAAATTTTATCACAATTTGTTTTGCTGAATAATGAGAAAGAAAGGGTTAGCAAAACGTTTTCAAGGGCTGGAGGTACTTGGAAGGGTGAGAACTTTACGAATGCGGTTGCGCAGCCGCAAAACCAGCCTACCCAGTGGAGAAAAGAAAGTCTATTTATGATAACAAATGTTTCAGTAATTAGAAACGGGGGAAAGAACCAATAAGCTATGCTATACACAACAACCTCCCCCCACGAAGTAATTTTACAACCCCCATCCATCTAAGCCGAGCTTGGTTCAATCCAATCCACAATATCCAGTCAACACCGTCATGAGGTTAGAGACAGTCAAAAGGTTTACATATATAATATAAAAGAAACCAGACGTGTCATATCCCATCAGGAGATTTTTTCTTTCCAGAGAAAGATGGGAAAAGCAAAGAAAAAATGGCCTAGAACAAAAGAAATAAAAATGCAAAAACACCCCGCATAAAACCACTTTTTGTTGTGGCCGAAAACCGGGGCCGTGTTTGGAAAGGAAAGGGGTAATGAGTAGGCAGGCAAGTAGGCAGGTATATATGTAGGCTGTCGCGGCGACGATAGTGAAAACGGAAGGATGGTGAGTAAATAATACCCTAACAAGATTATGAAAATGTGACAAGGGAAGGAGGGCCAAACATGATTACAAAAAAAGAGTGGAGGACAAGGAGAGGGTCGGAACATCCAAATTCGAAATTGAGGTTTGACCTCTTTTTTCCCTCGTGCTTTTGATATTAGCTTCAGCCAGAGTGCTACTGCTGTTAGAGTTAAGCCCAGACGGTGCTATGATAGACGCAGTGTAAAAAGGAAGAGAAAATAAAACAAGCTGTTTTTTTAGATCAATTCCAGCAACCCATCCCCTTTCTATAAAAAAACACTAAAAAAACACTAACCTTACTCCCCTGACCGCTTGATAGCCACGAACGTGTATGAATAGCGACGCGAGAGGAAATCGATTAAATATACATTAAATTTTTGGAAGGGTAAGCATCTTCTCGTTTGAGGATGATGAGATTTCTCGGATGTTATCGTTAGGATTTAATGAGGGAGGAGCAAGAGTTCCGTCCTGTGACTCCCCACGAGATGGGAGCCTTATTACACCCTCCTCGCTGGGCTTCTCGATTGGCGACCAACCGCCGATACTACCAGCCACAATAGAAGGCACCATAGCAGCTGCAGCGAAGGCCGAATTCGACCTCGATCGTCTGCGGCGCTGGGAGCTTGGAGAAGGTGGCGGAAGAGTGCCGTCCTCGGCAGTATGAATTTCGCCCTCAGGTGCGCCACGGCGGAAAATGTGCGAGAAGCTCTGCTTCACATTCTGGCGGCTAAACTTGAGCTGGTTAAGACGACCGCCACGAACCATCTTGAGGAACGCAAGTTCATCACGAACAGCCTCGATTCCATCGTTCCATTGGAAACGATCCTGGTTGTGGACATAGATGTTGCTGTTCTCCTTCTTGCTCATCCAGTCGGGTAAGATTTTAGCCAAGACTTGATCCGGAATCAACCTAATGATAACAGCCACAGGAATTGAGATGGCCCCGAGAATAATTGAGATACCCCATTGGACACCGTTGAGTTCGACAACACCAAACGCTTCGCCACCAACGAAAATAATCATAACCTGTCCACCAACCATTATAAAGTTGATACCAATGAAGAACCAATTGTTCTGGACACCCTCAAAGATATTAAATTTATTGTCAAGCCGGCGATTGCTATACATACGTTAATATCAATTCAACAGAAAGGAATGGAAGAACTTACTTGTATTGGTTAAAAATCTGCATCCATACGAAAGTATTGAAGACCAATGTTTTGAGTTCACTTTTCTCATGTTCGGTATGATAACCCAAAATCTTCATACCGGCGAAGTTGAGAATAAACGTAACAACAAGCTGATAGACGGCCTGACCGAGAATCATCTTCCACATGGTAATAGTAATCAAGGGTGCCGACTTAGGATCCGGTTTGCGGTCAAGGATTACACGGGTAGGGGGATCAGTAGCCAAAGCAAGAGCGGCAAAAGTATCCATGATAAGGTTGACCCAAAGGAGTTGAACAGCGCTCAAGACAGAACTCTCCTCATCAGAAGCAGCAGCGGAAACGAAGGTTAGAAGCACTGCAGTGATATTGACCGTAAGTTGGAACTATCACTAAATGTCAGTCATGGTCATTTATAGGTATGAATCATGAAATCTCACCTGCAAGAATTTCTTGACGGCATCGTTGACAGCTCTACCCCACATGATTGCCTTAACAATACTAGCAAAGTTGTCGTCCATAAGAATGATCGCGGAGGCCTCCTTCGCCACCTCAGTTCCAGCAATGCCCATAGAGAAACCAACATCTGCCATTTTCAAAGCCGGACCATCGTTAGTTCCGTCACCCGTCACCGCAACAGTCTCGCCGAGCTCTTTGAGTCTGCGAACCAGAATTCTCTTATCCTCAGGACTAGAACGAGCGAGGACTTGTAGACGGGGAATGACGGCATCCATTTGCGATGTAGAGAGCTGTCGGAATTTGGGTCCTTCCATAACGAAACCGCCGGAGGTATAAATTCCACATTCAGTAGCAATAGCCTTAGCAGTAATTAAATTATCGCCAGTAACCATACGAACGAAAACTCCAGCCTTTTGACACTCGGATACAGCGGCCGGAACACCATCACGAAGAGGATCCTGAATACCAACGACGCTTAAGAAAACCATATCCCCAAAGACATCACCAAATTCAACCTGGGACGGATCATCAGCCATCGTTCGAGACTTTTCCGGGGGCCAGGAAGCGAAATCGCGGTAGATCAGGCCGATGGTGCGAAGAGAGCGATTGGCGTAGTTTGAAATAACCTGGTTCAAAGCGCCCATATTCTCCTCCGTGAGCTGTGATTCCAATACCTCCGACGCCGAAATGTCATTAACAATCCGGGTACACTTGGCCAAAAGTATCTCAGAGGCACCCTTGACGAACATACGATATTTGCCGTTAGGTAGCCTGATAACAGAGCCCATACACTTCCTTCCAGAATCAAAGGGGATGAGTTGAACAATTTCAGAGTTAGCACGCTCCTCACTGACTGGCCCCATGCCTAAGAAGTCTCGCGCAAACCCAAGCAAAGCGGTCTCGGTTTTAGATCCAATGAAAGTCACTTCGCCACCCTCCTCACCCTCGAAAGCAGTAGAGTTGATAACAATTGACTTGCGCAGAAGATCTTTGACCGGTGAAGACAACATAGAAACAAATTCGGTAATTGAAACATCCCCTTGAGAATCCGCCGCGATCAACTGGTCCTTCAAATCCCCCTCGATTGAAGTGGTAGGGCTCTTGTCACCAAAACGGGCAGCCGTCCCCAAAGTCCCTGCCACCACACTCATCTTGTTCTGCGTAAGTGTGCCGGTCTTATCGGAGCAAATTGTCGTTGCGTTTCCCATTGTCTCACAAGCACGTAAGACACGAACAAGATTGTTATCTCTCAGCATGCGAGTTGTCGCAAAAGCCAACGCAAGTGTGACAGCAAGCGGAAGTCCCTCCGGCACAGCAACAACGACAACGGTAATTGCCGTAATGAGAATGCGCATGAACTTCTGACCCTTTTCAGATGGTGTCTCATCACTGCCCCTAAGCTGAACCAGGAACTTGATTAAGAGAACGATAAAGAGGAGTAAAGCGGAGCTGACAATTATTAGCATCTGGGCGCATAGCAGGAATACTAATAACTCACGCTCCACCGAGCTTCGCAATCGCTTCAGCCAAGTTGTTAAGCTTCATTTGCAAAGGCGTAGCCTCGGTTTCCTCTCTCAATGCCATCATGGTTTTACCAAAGCTGCTGTGAACACCAACATTGGTGACCATAAAAGTGCCGATGCCCTCGAGAATCTTGCTACCAGATAAAACGAAGCAATCCAATTTGTGAATTCCGGGATCATTAGCATCGATCTTGGCCATAACCTCGTCGGAAGCAGTTTTCTTCATTTGATCCGATTCGCCGGTAGCAGAGGACTCGTCGGCCTTGACGTTGTGGCCCGAGATAAAGATACCATCCGCGGGGATAAGATCACCAGGTTCCATATGACAAACATCACCAACAAGAAGGTCGAAAACAGAGATCTGCAGAGATCTACCAGACCGGATTACCTTGACAGTGCGATCTTCTTTCTACAAGTCGAAAAAATGCCGTGTCAGTGGGATCTTACAAGACCTCCAGAAGAAGAAAAGGGCTTTACCTTTTTATTTAATTTGACGAACTGCCTCTCCTTCTGGTAATCATTTCCGGCTCCTACGACGACGACAATGATAATAGCTACCATAATAGCCACACCTTCTACCCAATCGACCTTAGCGCCTTCACCCTTCTTGTGTTGACCGCCAAAAGTTTGATACAGTCCCAAAGCCAGCGAAATCACAGCCGCGCCCGACAACAAAAGCAGTACCTTGTCCATAAAGGCGATCCACATTAACTGAAAGATGTTCTTGGTTTTCTTTACGGGTAGTCGATTATCCTTGAAAACACGCTTTCTCTCCCTAAAAGCATCACTCTTCAAATCCCCCGCACGTGCAGTCTCATTTGTCGCAGCGGTCGCGAGCGGGCCCCCTCTTGAACTATGCTCCCCACCACCACTCGCCCGATGATTAACTGCCTGTTCAAACGTGACTCTCCCATCCAGCGATGTTTCGTCAAGACTCAAACCAGCTCTCCTATCAGTCCGCAGGCCAATCTCCAACCCCCGAAGACCTCCCAAGGCTCTCAGAGCCGCATGACTCTTTGGCATATACAACCTCCCCAGCTGGCCAGGGGTGAATGCAAAAGTATTATCTTCGACAATAAACTCGGGATCATCTGGCGTGTATGGCCTAAGCGGGTCATCGTCCTCATGAAGCGATTTACCAGCCGTCGTTGCGCCCGAAACTACGGGTTGACCCGGGACCAGAGTCACATCTCCCTCGGACGAGGGGGTCCCGATGGAGTTCCTGGGTGAACGAGCCCCAGGGACCGCCAGAAACCCGCCATCGCTTAGCATTTTCGTTGATTTGTTGTCACGCTGAAAATAGTAAACAGTCGACAGTTAGCAAGTGTGAAAACGTAATCAAAAAGATAATAATAACAATACCCACATGTCAGCAGAGGTCGACTTACTGTACTATTATCTATCACCGCCACAGATGGAGCTCTCTCACTTGCAAGCACCGGTGGGCCACTTTCTGATGTTTGCGGTGGGTCAACTCCTTCTTCCTGCGTCGACATTGGGGAGAGGTAGGGCTAAAGGCGCTTTTCCCTCACGGAAGCCAGACAAGCCCAATAGAGAACTACACCAGCCACCGGGAGCAAGAAACACTCGGTCCTTGACGCCAAAGAAAAGAAAAAGAAGAAAAAAAACAAGAATTATAACGTGTGAATAGAAGGAAGGCAAAAAGAGCGCAATCGTCGAATTGTTTGCCTCCGGTTAATATTCGGAAGTTGTATGTCGGAAGCCAGGAGGTGGGAAACGAACCGTTAGCAAACACCGCCGACTTTTTGTTTTTGTTTTTTTGTGCAAGCAAGAGTCAACCTAGCAAACTCTGCCGCAAACGGAGAGAGTGTTTGGAATCAATCCCAAACTTGAGGTGCTCCAAAGCCTGCCCAATGCTGGAAGCAGGGGGAGGGGGGGGAGGGGAGGGGGTATTATGATCACCAAGGGGGCGTTCAGTGCCACCGCAACGAAAGAACGACGTGTACTGTAAAAAGATAGACTACTGATGATGTCGTGGAGGAGAGAAGGACCAACAAAAGCGAGAGGTGTGAAGAGAACTCAGCAATGGATCCTTCGATCTCTGCGAGTGATGTTGGCACCAAAAAAAGAAAAAAAAGACCCTTCTTTAAAAGGCACCTCGACCATAGAATACCGGTATTTTTTTTTCCAGACCTGCCCCAAAGTCGACTTGCCCCCTGGTTCAATGGCAGCAGCACTTTGAAAGGAGTGTGAATTGGCGGTTGGTGAGGGAGGAGAAGTTGAAGGATGAGGGAAGGAGATCAGGAAAAACCCTTGCAATGACATTCAGACCGGGCGGGAAGCCACATGCGTCGCTGCGCTCCCAAGAATCTTCTTGGCCTTAGGCTACGATTGGTTTGAACAAATTGCATTGCACTGCCCCAACCCCACAGGTACAGTAATGCTCAACATCTAGCTTGGGAATGTCTTGGTAATATATTCAATTCCAACGTCCTTAGCGCCTCGCTTAATTCACCAAACTGGGCCGAGCTCAGAAGTCCAATCACAGGCTCCCATACTTGTACCTGATGCAATCCCAAACAAATCCCAAGAAGCGAAACAAGAAAAGAAGCCTGCCCCCAACACAGGAAAAATGGCTCGAAAAATGGAAGAGAAAGAGCAAGAGCTCCATGACGACATTAAGAGAAATAATAATACAACACTTGAAGCCAAGCCAATGGAATTAATTGCGAACACCTTCATCTGGATCCTTTGTGTCAGGGGGTTTGACGGAGCTGCCTCCGTCTCTGCGCTATTTACTTTTTTTGGCTTGGCAGGTAACCGCCACCAGATACCGGTATTCTGTGCACCACGCGCCTCCATTAAATTTCACTCGAGTACTGTACTCGTAACAGGAAAGCCCAGGACCCTCCTACCTCTGCCCTCCGTCACCATCACGAGACATAGAGTGGGAAAGCTCACTAGGTATAGGCATACCACCCGGCACCAGAGCAAGCAATCTTGCTCAGACATAACAACAATCCCAAATCAAGACCCAGAGTCATTGGGGATGAAAAAGAGTGAACACCTCATCATTACAGAAGCGTTACCTACTAGTACAAGTACTGTACCCTGCAGTAATACTCGAGTACTCGTACAGGCTTGAGAACCATTCCTCGAGCCAAGAAACGAGAGAGGAAAGGAAGTGACATCAGCGCTCGAGTACCTGTACCGGTACTTGAGATACAGTCTACCCGCTTCCTGAACGCAAACATCTCAAGATCAATCACCCCACAAGAAGTCAAGGAGACTAGAATGCTCCACGGGACATCGCATAAGCCCATTCCCAACCGTTATCGGCACTTGAGCAGCCAATGAATAGCCAGATATCCTCATTGCAGGCCACAATTTCCATTTCTACTCGCGGTATCGGTGCTCAGAGCGATAATTCATCATTCATTCATTTATTCCTCCATTTACATCCTCATCCATCCAGCAACAACCCTGTTTATAACCTATTTTCCCCACGTCCCGCGCCACAAACACAAGTTAAGGGGTTCGCCAGACCCGGCACAAGGTATCACTAATAATCACCCGAATCAGACTTTCCCGCAGGGATTATCTTTATACTCGAGTAACACAGGAAGAGAAAATACTTGTAAACAGTTTACGCAAGGGGGAAAAAAACAAAACAAAATACAAATACAACCCTACGATTCGAGCAAAAGTGAAACCCAACATTTGAGAAAAGTGCTAGTACAGAGTACCGGTAAGCACCGGACAGGCCAATGGTGGAGGATTACGAAACTGCGCTGTACTTTTTTACCAGTAACGGGTAACCGGGTATAACAACAGCAACAACCTGCATGGAAATTTCGAAAAGACGGTTTAGTAATAATTTTCCGAGCCTGCCATAATCAACAAGCACGAGTACAGTAATCTAGCCAAAGTATCTGTGCGCCTTTCGACGACGGGGGCGGGTAGACTACGGTAGGCGGGAAGATCGATCTGGAAGCTGTATGATAAGTTCGGTCAATCAACTCATCATATCCTATCCATCCTACACTTACCCAGCCGCAATGAAGAACTCCCTCCCATAAATCCATAACCGCAATGCGCCCCAGTTAAATAACCTTGTAAACAAGATTAGGCATAGGCAGGACAGACAGGCAACGTCCTCCGGGAAAGTCGATGCCCCATTCATTCCGCGGCTGAAAATAAGGTTTTTCCCCATCCGGATCGCCAAGACCTTTGACATAGCCCGACATGATCAATTATAACTATATTAAAAAAGAGAGACCCACAGAGCCAACGTATTGTACTCGTACCATTCCACGTATGATAACTTGTACGAGAAGAAAGAAAGAAACACAATTTGGACCACACCTGCCTGTCCCTGCCTAGACTACCCACCGTACGAGTACCCACCTGCTTTGTCCCTGTTTCAGGTTTAGGCTATGAGGTCAGTTATATGCCGGTAAGTAAGTAAGTAAGGTATGGAAAGAAGTAGCTAGGTATTCTTCGGATATGATGCATAGCTATTATTATCCTTATTACCCATTCCTTAGAGAGGTACCGGTATATTTAGATGAAAGTAGCAGGCTTTCTCTCAGAGAGGGAGAAACAATTCGAAACCGAAAATCTTTCCCAGGGGAGTGGTTTGCACGATTTTACACACAGGCAAAGTACTGTATGATACTCGTAATGCCCAATACTGTACCCTAAATTTCACATGTTTCCCCCCCCCCCGTTTCACCACTTCCCCCCCGGTTAAAAAAAAAAACCGAACATTTTATATGAGACGAGTGACATTTTGTGATCCCCGCACATACTTCTACGGTAGGTAGGGTTATTGGACTCTACGGGAGGGAAGAGGAAGGGAGGGGGAGGGGGGGAATTGGTCAGTATGTGGTCCAGAATATTCGGAACGGGGGAGATGGGAGGGGGGGGGTGCAAGAAAGGACAACATCGAAAAGCACAGCCCCATTTCCAAGACAAAGAAAGAAAGGAAAAAAAATATTTTGACAATGAGATATTATTTCAAGAAACTTAACCGAGAATGGGGGAAATTCCCCTAAGCTACATCGCGACAACCCATGCATCCCACCACCACCAACCAATCACACAACCTACCCAGTACGAGGAGAATGGGGAAAGCCGCCCAATCATAACGATCCACCACTCACAATTGGTCACTCGAGCGAATCAACGGACGGCTTTGTCGGGAGAATGGGCGGGGAAATTTAGCGCCTCGGCGGGAAACGTGTTCACGCTTTCCCGAATACCGTACTGATCCGCCTCAGCGATGGGAAGAAACATGGATTATGAGAAACTTCCAGGGTTTTTTTTTTTCTTTTTCTTTCTTCTTTTCTCTCGAAAGGCCCCAAAGTAAGGGTACGGTACGAGTGTGAGTGTTGTGTGTTGCCGGTATCATAATTTTCTGACATTCTCGTGAACGCGCACGACCGCAAATTGGATGGATGGATGGGTGGGAGGCCGGAGTCTCAAGATTTCTCTCTACGAGTATCCATCATAAGCATTCTACTCGTGAGGGTTAGTGCGTAATGGCAGTCGTGCTCGCAGGCTTCGGGATATTATGGGTACTTCCTTCCATCCTCCCTGCAGGACCGCTAAGGCCGGATGGAAATTCAAACGACTGATATAAGGCACTACAGTACTTACAGTAGGCCTAGCCTTTTGGTTTTAGCTCTGCATTGGAAGATCGGTGAAGTTTTGTGTTTTTGCCAAGAACAGGCCCCCCTCACATGTCGCGCGCCCCAACCACAAGTGCTAAAGTCTATGAGATGTTACGGCACTGTACTCGAGTATTTGGAAACCACGTATCAAGTGTGCTGTTCCGCGATGGGGTGTGGGTGCGTGTGTAAGGTTTCTAGAATTCCGTATATTTACCGTAGGAGATAGAGGCGGTGAAGGGATGTTATCGTGTTCTTCTGGCGATTTGTGGGGGTGGGGTGGGGAAGGATTTTCTGCATAGTGTTCCACGAGTACGAGTAGAATTCAGTCAGTTTGTCGGGTGGGTGGTTGAAGTGAAGACAACGGATTGTGCTGCGGACTGGGTCGGACCATGGGTTTGTTTGTGACACTTTGCTATGTATGGCATCATACAAAGTAGGCTGTGGAGTGAGGGTGGGAACCATTCGATTGTTCGATAGTTGCATGGTATTGTAATCCTTCTTTCGTGCGCAGAGGTCCGCACTGCACCGCGAGGTGTTTTAGATGAGACAGACCGGCAGCTTTACGGGAGCTTATTCGAGTAAAGTATTGGAAAAAAATATGATATCATGTACGTATGTATCTATATTCATGGTGGGGATCGCGGTTGCGCTGTTAAACATCTTTAGTCGCCATTTCGTATGCACAGCATAGCTCGCTGGGATAAACATTTCTACTATATGCATGTTACAGGTGCACATCCCGTGGTAGAGGGTATCAGTGGACCTTCGCCTATTGTCGACATCTGGATCTCCGATGCAATGTTGTACTACTATGTGCGTTACGCTCCATGTGTAATGTGTACTGTACGTATAGGGTGCTATCATATCTTCCGCCTTCTATCGCTCAATTGTCTCCCTACTGATTCGCTAGCTGTGCGAATCTCAAGCTCTAACTTCTAATTTTCCGTCCCGAATGATTTTCTTGAGTGTCTGTTATGGATGGCATACGTCAGTTGAATAGCTCATCCACGTGTTATCTATTGATAGAAGTTGGATAGAGATAACGGAGAAAAACTCACCGCCGCCTGTTTCGGCTCGATCATAAGCGCACTAGCCTCTACGAGCACACTCGCCTCTTCGCCTTCCCCGACGAGGGTCTCGATCCTCCCCTCTACCCATGCCTTCCTCCCTTCAACTTTCACAGTCTTCGCCTTCAGGACGACATAGCTCCCCGCGGGGCTCGGTTTGCGATAATTCACTGTCAAGCTGGCTGTCATTGCTATCTTGTTTGGCAAAGCTGCGAAGCAACATCTCGCGAGCCCTTCGTCTAGTATGGTTGCGAGCATACCGCCGTGAATGTACCCTGGATGTCCGCACAGTTGTTCACCTAGGTAGAACACCTGCACCATGCTCTTTCCGCCGTCTTCTACGAAGGTGAGTGGTGGGACTACAATCTTTCCTGGGCCTGCGAGAGTGCCTGCGGTGAAGGAAAGGTGTTTATACTTATCCGCGATTTTCAGCGTCGGTCGGGTTTCGCTGAAGGCGGGGTTTGATCGTAAGGAGGTGACAAGTGGGTGGTTGGAGATGTAGTTGTTTGCTTCTATCTCTTGGGGGTCCGTGGGTGTGTATGCTTGGAGGGTCTCCTCATCTGTGAGGGCGATATACCCCTGTGCAGCCATTATGTAGCTGCAGGTTGTGAGGATAGTTATAGTAACGCCTGAGAGCAACCAGATGCTGGGACGTATAAATGTTGCTTCTTTGATTTTATCCGAGAACTTTTGATCTGCAGCTAATTATTAGCCTGGGTCGGTGTTTGCTACCATAGGGGATGAGCGAACCCACAAGCAGATTTCCCAATAGGCTCAAAAGACTTAGTAGTAGCAAACCGTGATGCAGGAGTAGCAATGGCGGCAGCAGTAGGAAAGTAGCGCAGAGGTGAAATTAACGGTGTAGAATGTCTCAACACCCTGCCCGCCAGAGCAGGAGATCTATTCAATATAACCATCTCCTTTCCCTTCCCTTCCCTTTCTCCCTTCTCGGGAAAACCACACCTATACCAATGCTACCGGTAACGTCAACACCCGGAGGCCGGAGGCCGGAGTCGAGCAAACGCGGCGGAACAGGTGAATGTTTTTCCTTCGGTGATTCGTAATTCCACCGAGGTTGATGCCAATGGGGGTTTGGGGAAAAAGTTCCCAACAATCGAACAATGCCTGTCAGCTTCCCCGAAGAGAGAAGGAAGGAAGAGGGTTAAACTCTTGGAAACGTTCCTGAAAACCTAGGAGGGGAAAGATTGGTTCCTGGACCCTAGGATTGCCTTTGAGGGAAAAAAACAAAACAGGTGTGGGATGGAAAATATTGGGTGCCTACCTGGAGATACGAGTTACCTCGGTTCCCAACAAGATTAGAGGTGAGAGGCTCTGATGGTGTTGATAGTATCTTACACCGCCAAGCCAGGAATTGCAGGTGTTTGCCCCTTCCATGCGCCTGCAGCAGGTATTCCAAAAAGGGCACCAATTCTTGGCGCCGAGACACGAGTAATCAAGCGCCAAAACCGGGATTTTTCGCCTGGAAGGCGATGGCTGCCGAGGTATTCCCCGCGCCTTCAAGCTTTCACCGATGCCAAAGGCTAAAAGGCGCCCTACAGCTTGTGAGGTGGTAAACTTAACCACTTCCGTGCACGAAATCCCTTATGGTGAAGCTATCCCTTGCCAGCTTACCGTAATGCACTTTGTTTCCGTCAACTTCCATTGCACTTATCCAGCGGATTGTTTATTGGCCGCGTTTCACTAGCTTCGGTCACGCAGGCACGCTCCGGAAAAAGTGCTGTAAGTAAAGTGAAAGAGGGGCGCTTTGTTCGCAGCAGTGGCGCCGACCACGTATTTTATAGGGCTTCCGTGGGAGGGTGTCGTTCAGGATCGCCTTCCCGCCTTTGACGTATCATAGCCAGTCGGGAAGGCGAGCGAATGCCTGCGCAAACACGGTGCATGAGACTAGCCAACTGTTCTGTCCTTGGCTTTCCCAGCCTGCGTTGCCTTTCTGTGTCACAAGAGAGTGTTGTCCTTGCTCCTTTGTTGTCACTCGCTTTGTCCTCGAGTATTCGGGGGTTACCGGTAGGAGGGTACAGTACCGGTATCCTGTTCACTTGGCTTTGACAACCTGCTGAAGTTTTGCATTTTGATAAACCAATTTGCCCACGAGCGCCATTCCATGCGAGAGTGTAGATCCACCCCCATGTCTTGCTTGCTAGCAGTTACACATCCTCTTCGTGTCAAGTCTGTGACGAGTGATATCCTATGATTCCGCTCTACAGCTGGATTATCGTCATTCATGATCAATCGATCGGACATGATACTATTCCTAAATGCGCTGGAGTATCTTCCTCAGCTCGCGAATTCTGGTCGTTGGATTTTGTCGAATTTGTTTTAGTGGAGTTGGAAAAACTGGGAAGGGCATATGGGGGTGTTTATTGATGATATATATATAATCAGGGATGTTGAGAGTATTGTATAAGGATGTATGATTGAAAAAGTTCATGGTGTGAATGTCAAAGGGTGCTCTAAAACTCTCATAAAATGGGTCGTTAACATTTCATTGTATCATACGGTACTTGAAAAGGGCTACATGTAACAGCGCGCCAGCTCTGTCCGGACGTCCGGCGAAGTTTTTAATTTAAAAAAGACATAATACCGTAAACCCCGAAATCCACAAGAAGAGGAAATGAGAGTAGGAGCACAGTACCCGTAGTTCAGCGAGCCGTTGTGAGCACACCTGCCATCGCATACCGCCGGAATCCCTCCATCTGCTTGGGCTCTCGAAGTCGCGCGGTGGTTCTCGTCTTCACGAATGCCGTTTAATCGCCGGGCACATATCAGCCGCGCAGGCAACACTTACTGCCAGATCGCAATCAAATCACCATACCGCTTAAAGATCTATCACCCGCCCCCAAACCTTCCCAATTGGCATAGCGTGGCAAATCTAGACCAATTTCGAACACACCCTTAGGCAGAAAGATTCCGATCTTCCATACCTCACCCAATCACCTGCCGGTCCCGCCTGAGTGGCGATCTCCAGTGGCGATATTAAATTGGGGCTCTGGCGCCGACGTCCAATCCAAGAACCTACAAGTACGGTACACAGCGCGCCGACGTCAGTTACGAAAAATACAATATCTTGCCACCGCCTGTGCATCTAGTGCCGGGAGTAGAGGTGTCATGTCGGCGTTCACGAGTCTCTAAGGGGGAGGGGTGACCGGGGCTTAACTTAAGGAGTAGGCGGAAAGGAGAAAATGGCCCGAAACTTGAAATCTTTGGTGGGCAAAACTGAAATCCTAGTTGTACTATGGTAGGTGGTGACAACGATTGGGGGGCGGGGGGGTTAGTACAGTACCGTGTGGTAGTTCGATTTGGTTTTGCGGTAAGTGTGCTGATTTGACCGGACTTTATTGGGTTCGGTCTTATGATGTATACAAGTAGTGCGAAATGTGCGCGCGGTTACTTGTATCATATCTGGGGGTGTGGACGTGGTATCGAGTATCTACTCGGGGGTGGACGAAAGTGATGAGAGGGACAGGGGTTTGAAATCCCCGTGCTCGTTACTGTAAGAAGCAAGAAATGATTTAATTTGGTAGGTCTAATTCCAGAGAGGGCAAAAAGCTTTGACATCTCCAACCCCTGTCCCTCTCATCACTTTCGTCCACCCCCGAGTAATTGTACTACAGTACAGTACGATGCAGTACGAGTACACCGTGGAATTAGAGCTGATGCGTTAGCGTACCAGTATGTTCCCTGCAATGGTACTATACTATACTCGTAGAGCAAACAGCAAGCTACTCTTGCCATCATAGCAATTACGGTGAACTCTTATAGGCGGTTCACCCCCCCCCAAATTTTTTTTTTTTGCCATCACGTGGCAGTCTGCTAGGGCTGCAGTATCACAGCTGAGCATCTCTACCCACCTTCCAATCACTCTACCGGAATTAAGTTCGAAATATTCTAGACTCACCGCCTCCACTACGGTACGTAGACGAGATGACACGATGCACAATGTCTCAAACAAAATTTAATGGAAAAAATTGCCCTAGATACAGTACTATACGTTATTAATCAACAACATAGCCCCCCATTCCTCATTCCACGATATCTATCATACTTTTTTTTGTGATCCCGCTATACTTGTATTATAAAGTTCACCTTCCCTACCGGTATTTTTAAATGATAAAAAGCGCCTTTTTTTTTTGCATGTTGTTGATTGATAGATCCTAGTTCCGAGCCTGTGCCGTGAGTGGGGCTGCAAGAGGAACGAAAGTTACTGTACTACAGTAGTCGTCTCTGGGGAAATGTGGCCTTAAAGGTATAATAGCTTGGAAACTTATTGGTTATGCAGTAAGTTAATGCCGGTGTGAACTATGCGTTGGGTATTTATGCATCTTGCATAAGTAATAATAGTGAATTATGGCACTGGGGGTTATGTTCTCGCACCGGTGCAACGCTATGACGTCCAGAATTCCCCTCTTTGGGTAAAGGCGGAATCGCCACCCGGAAATATACTTGTAATATAATTTTAATTTACTTTCAGCCTTCCGCTCAGACAAATACCGTACGATGGATTACAATAAAAAGAAAAGAAAATACAACGGACTTTACCAGGAGAGGAAACTCCAACGTCCTAGCCACTGGTCCAATTACTCTAGTTCTCACAGGCCAAGACGGGAAGTAGGAGCTTGCTTGGGCCGCCTGATATGGGTGCTGTATCGTACTGGTGCAATATAGCCCCCACCAATCAGGTCTTCCGGGACTTCTGGGCACTTAAATAGCTGTCTAACTTCTAATTTACTAGAGTGTAACAATCTCCCTTTTTACTCGTGGCGGGCGAGGAGTTGCCTAGAAACATGGCTTGGAAAGATATATGATATATGGCAGGAAATCCGTGCGTGTCCGAGTTGTCAATGTGGATTCGCGCCCATATTTTCGGGGGTTGTTTGCCTGCTACCGTTTTGGACTAGTATAATACAAGTGCTCGCACAGGAAAAGTGCGTATTGTATAATACCGTCCTGCGCTCCTCCTCCTCGATACCGGCATAGCCTAGCCTTGTAAAAGAATAGGATGGAAGAAACTGATAGGCCTTATTGCTGTTTTCACCTTGGTTGTCGCAACTTTGGAAAACCGAGGACACAGTTTTTTTTTTCAACAGGTGGTGTTTTTTTCTCAAATTAATTTCCCGAGCTAGCGTCAAGGCCGTGCCCAAACAAAAAGGTCTACTGTTTGCTAATATTTGCTGAGGAAAGGCCACAAGTGTCACCCTCAGTTCTCAAAGATTGCCCAGTGGCGCATTTAAGATTGCGGGAGAAGAAAAGAACACTTTTTTTTTTAAAAAAATGGCAACGTCTGTTTTCCAAAGTTGCGACAACTAAAGTGAAAACAGCAATACTATACCAGTACCCGTATCATGTCATATCAGACTACAATCTCGCCATGCAGTAAATTGCTTCACGGGAATTACGGTAGCCAGCCTGCAGCACCGAAAAGGGATGCAGTTGCGTCCCAGGTCTTTAGAATACTGTACTTGTAGCCATCTCGGTTTGCAACCTCCCTCGAGTTCCCGTTGTGGGCGGCCTAACACCCACCCAACTCACGGTTTGTTTCGCGTCCTCCATTGGGGGTGCGAACTAAACATTGTGCTTCTTAGCATAGGTTGCACAACTGCATATACTTGCTGAGATTGCACTGTGGTAGGCTTGGCAGTTGCGTTTGACAACGTGACGGGGGATGTGAGTGTTTTGTGATAGGTTGTGTATGTGGTGAAAACGTTTTTTGGATACGGTGATATGAGCCACCGACTGGGTGAGTGGATGCGGGTGGGGGTTGCCGTATGAATTACCGTGAGCAAGTTGAGATATTTACTGTTGTTAGGAGTGGAGGAGAAGATGGGTTGCATTCGGGTTCGGGATGATCCTGATGTCACTCAAAGGCGTTGATTTACATCGACCAGCATGAGTGGCTATAGAAGCATCGTGAGATAGTGTGGGTTTACACGCCTGGTGTCGGGCTTGGCTTCTAAGTTGGGTGGGCAGAGTCAGAGTGGGGGGGTCCAAATGTCAGCACAGGAGAAAGCGCGTTCAACACATCCTCTGATTCATTCCGTATCCTATCTGTTATGACTCACCCCTCGACGGGCCCGAAGATCCTACTCTGCCTCCTTGAACCAAACCACCAGCCCCGCCTTCTTGATGCCCACCCCCTCACTCCCAGGCGAGACTCTGAGTATCTTATTAAAGTACCTGTCCACAACCCTTAGGCCCGGCTTAATCCACCTGCCACCTTCCTCCCCTTCGAATCTGACATCCTTCTCTCTGGGAACCGGGAAGACGAAGAGTCTGTACTCAATTTCGGCTCTGGAACTCGGCAATAGTTGGACGAGGATCTGCTTAGGACCCGAGAAGGCGAAAGCTTCGTTGGCTTCCATCAGCACGTTGAAGGTTAGGAAGTAGTTGGTTGGGTTTTCGAGGGTGTAGCGGATTGTGATTACGTTTGGAGGAAGTGGCTGGGTTAGGGTTGGGGATGGCTGAATTACGGCGGCGAGGACACGGGGCTCAGATGGCGGGATGGGAAGGCGGGGGACTGCGAGGGTGGTGGTGTTTAGGGGGGCGGAGGGGAGGGAGTCGCGACGCCAGTGGAGGACTAGGGTAACGTCGATCGAGGCGGCGGATCGGTCCTCGAGGGAGCGCTTTTGGATGTCAAGAGTAAAGGGGAGTGGGGTGGGTTTTACTTTGTCGAGGACTGGAGGGAAGGGATTGCGTTAGAATTTGATGGAAAGTAAAATTTGAGGTGAAAGAAGAGGGGGAGGAAGGGGGAGGTCATACGTAATGATTCTTTGGAGTCTTCGTCTGTTATCACTCGGCAAGCTGAGCCGTCTCCGCCACTTTCCACAGCATGGATTGGAAGCTCCCAGTTCTCAACTACCACCACGCCTCCTCCGGTGGTGTATAGCGTAACGGTTAGACACCATTGCTGGATAATGCCGAGTACCCTCTTTCCATTCTCCCATCCGGTGCCTTCTTCCAGGGAAAAGTAGTCTGGCCATGGATCTGGATGGACCCGTGGGGAGAAGTCAAAGGTTGTAGAAAATGGATTGATGATAGGCATCTCGGTCATGACACTTTTATGAATGTAGGTATCTGGATCGGAGATTAGATGGTAATGAACCGTTATCTCTATTGCACAATCGGCAGGCATTGATGGTGATGGGAAGCATATTGTGCGTTTTGTTGGGGGTGCGGACGGAGAAAGTTTGCCTAGTGGGTATAGAGATGCTGTTGCTGGCTCTTCTACTCCATCAGATATCCAGGTTACTGACGGTACTACCATTCAATGTTAGAATCGCATGGAATATTTGCGTTATATGTAACTCACGATCGTCATCCACTGGCCATCCAAGAATCCGCAGGCCTATATCAACTATAGCATCTTCTTCTTCACCGTTTTCAACCGCCAGCTCGATCTTTACGATCTCATTAATGTATAGTTCACCCTCAATCGCACTCTTGGCCGTAACTTCCATTTTCGGTGGTCTAGGCATGATGGCCAAGGTACCAGGCTCCTTAGCTCTAAGAGGTTTCTTCTTCAGGGGTCCGCCTTCCTCCCCAGCCCACCAAACCCCGCTAGCACCACTAGGTGTTGTGTGTGTTAGTTTCCTGGTTATTTGATGAACAGCTCGTGTGGAGGGTGCGTCGACTCTATCATCGTCGTCGTACTCTGTATCTAACATAACCATGTAGTCTAATTCGAAACCCTCTGTATACATTACAAATGTGGCGCATATAGCCTTGGCATCACCGGCCTCACGAAGGATAGACGAGAACTCATAGACTTTGGTTTCCCCCGGTGCTAGTGAGAGGTCTGTGTTTGCGACTAGGAAAGATTTGGTGGATGTAGGAGAGGGAAGAGGCTCATCGGGAGAGTGAATCTGCTCCTGGACCTTCCCTTTGAGATTGATTTTATTTATTTTCAAGTCTGGCCGTGGAGAGGATGGGGTATGCCGTAGAAGTATAGTTCGAAGGTTTCCTTCATAGGATATTTTCAACTCCGAGAAGACTATTGGTGCTGCACTAGCATGGGCATCTGAGGATATGACTAGTTGCGAAACGATGGAGTCTCCGGCGTGGACACTTGGAGTTTCAAAAGAATATGATGCAGTAACTGCAGGGAAGCGCAATTAGCCTTATGGCACTAGTATATTGAAGTATTTTCATTTGGGTAGGGGGCCTACGGAAGCTAACAACGTCCCCTCCACGGACCACCAGAGTAGGCTTGACCTTGACTGTTTCCACGCCTTCCAGAGATCGAGAAAGATCATATCTCCACCCTCTCCGCTCTTTGAAGACAGAACTACACGTCAGCTCCAACTCCGCGATAACAACACTTCCGCCTTCACCAGCATTACGCCCGCATTGTACAATATTCCATAAAACATCTTCAAGAACCTCCCACCATCCTTCTTTTCTATATATTCGCGCCGCAGAACGTAAATCCTTCAATGCTTCCCCCCAGAGGCTCTCATCATGTGGCGCTTTGGCTATCTTCAGCTTCGCTATTTGAAGTGTAATTGAGTCTACCATACGCTTTTGTTGACGGGAATCAAACTCTCGTCTTGCCAAGGAAAGTAATGATAATTGGGAGGAATTGTGATCAGCAGTACACTCTTCCTGTGGCGGTGGACAGAGGTAGAGATCATATAAATCTGCGCTATCACTGATGGATATCCCTTTCGCTCTCGTCACCCGTACGGACAATAACTCGGCAGCCTTGAGATAGTAAAACCCAGCGTGATGCAGCAGGTCTTGTGGGCCTATTCGCTCACTAACAGAAATCTGCTTCTCTGGTGGTGCGTGTATTGCTGGGGGTTCTATGCCCTCGGTGCCCACCCTAAGCATCGGCATCCGGGGTGAAGCTGGAGCAGAGACATTGAAAACAGGAAGGCTCCCACTTTGTATCAGTTCACCAAGACACTTGTTCCATCTACTCATCCATGCTGCAAACCCATAGGTTTCGGTTCCTCTCCCTTTGCGGTTTAATATATTTGTCATGTGTGTCACATGAGCACTCCATCGGCGTTTGGCAGCTGTATACTGTTCGCCCCAGAGATGACAACGAATTAGCCTTAGAATAGTGATATCTGCAAGAAGCCTGGCTTGTGTCCATCGGTCGCTCCAGGAGCTTGTCGTTTCGAAAACCTCTGTTAGCAGCTTCTCATATGCCATCTCATAATTCCGCACTGCAACATCCATTTCCTGCCGGAATTCTGCGAATATGCCCAATTTAAACTCATAACGGAGGTTCCATGCTTGTTGAGATAGCGCCCTGGAGGAGGGTATTGTGGGTGGGGGGACAGAGCCCTTGTTGCGCTTACGCCGTGAGTGCTTGGATAGGTCTCGATAGTACTCTATAGCAAGCGGGTATAATGTACTCAGAAAATTGAGAGCAAACTGCTGCAGCTCTGCCGCCGAACTATTGGCAGGAACAAAGAAAAACGTAGCATTGGCGATTAGATTGGTAGATCGTTTAATGTAGCTCACCCTATCATCAAATCGTGGTGATGATAAAATAGACTTATCACTCATTAACACAACAGCAAACTTGCTTCTATAACCGCTGCTTCGAATTTCATCGCCACCTATTGATGCTGAGATCGTAGACCCTGTGGTGGGTGAGAAGTGCTTCTTTGCGGCATTGATTGAAGCGATAAGCTCATTGTCTCGTAAGTTTTGAATATTTCCATCATTGGACTCAGTGCAGAGCTCATGAAAGCAAACAAATACTGAAGGCAGTAGGAGCTGGTGCTTCCGAAGCCATAGATTCGAGATAACACCGTCGGGGTATAGGGGAGTATCGGGAGAGAGTGGGGAGATAGGTGAATGCAGGGCTCGGGTTGGTGGGATTTCAGCTCCAAGTGCCGAGCCCCCAGAAGCCGGTGGGGCGGCTTTACGGGGCGGTAAGGTGTAATTCTGGCAATCTCTAATCAGGGTATGGTCTTATAAGATCGATAAGAGAAATATTGAGGATTGCTCTACCCTTCCAACTACTCGTATTCGGAATGCTGGACTCTTTGTTGACCGCTCGGTACGGCCCGCCCATACTCCAGACGAAGCATCCAATCTCTGGAAGCATTCGAGAAGCTGTACACCAGCGCTAGTAGTAACAGGAGGTAGTTCCGAAGAGATCTTGAATCCACCCTCTTCGAGGAGAGGGGACGCGGCGGCCTCGGTCTCAGGTTCACCAAGGCCAGAAAGTATCAGTAGCGGAGTCTCATGGGTGATAAACTCGGTGGGGTAGGCGTCCATTATGGATGATGTTGACAAGGAACAGGAAGGGGAGGGGGAGAGCAAGAGGAGGACCCCTTGATATTGAACGAGCAGCCCAATTTTTAGAAAATGACGGCGATCGGCAGGTTATGGTCATTGGTCGATAAAGCATGAGTTTGAGAGTGGAGACTGAGATGCTCTGCACATAAGCGTTGACGGCAGAACGCAAGAGCACGTGCACGCTGACTGTCTCACTCGTCTTTAGTTTGTCAGGTATCCTCGCTCCCGTTGATAAACCTGCCCTGTGGAAACCACCAAACACGCAAAAACCCTTCGTACAAACAGACCTCATCCAATCCCTTTGGATCTTGTCACCCTGTTTATCTATCGCCTAAATAGCTTAAGCTTCAGTCATGGCAGCAGAGAGACAATACCTTGCCGACACAATAGCGTTCGTTTACCTTTATACTCCCTCCGCGCACTGATGGATTCCCAAAGGACTAACTCCTTCATCCTATAGAAACGTGAAAAAGGTTCTTGCAGCGCAGTCGGATGGTGTGCTTCCGCGCTTGAGCCCTACAAACCCTCGTGCTACATACTGACTTTTCAGGGTCTGAATCCGACGACTCAATAGCCTACACATCGAATCGCGGTCGCAAGCTTAAGCGCAAGGCCCGCTTCGTCCACGAAGGAGCATTGAACGATGCGAAAGGACCGAGGGTCTATAAGAAGGTTTGTAGGTACTTTTATACAGTGGAGAATGGACGGGACTAACGGCATATTGGGGTGTGTTTAGGAGATTGAGTTTTACGGTAAGCGGAGGAAGGTAATTTACCAGAAGGAGCCTCTCCGGAAACGAAACGAGGATTCGGAATCAGATGTTGAGGAAGATAGCGATGATGATACGACGAGTGTGTCCGATGATTTGGATCCTTATTCGGAGATCAGGATTGATAGTATTCCACCTCTCGTCGCGTTACGCTTGCTCGAGTTTTGGTTGGATGCTAATAAACTACTTCAGAAATCCTTGCACCATGCGAAAACGCTGCAGATTTACCGTCTCATCCCTCCATGTCCCACGTATATACTTCACGAACGCTAAACGACCTCCTCCAACAATCACTCACGAAACTATGCGAGGAACAAGCCCACACGACGAAGCTAAAGAATTTGCTTACTGTTTTCCTGGGTGATGACCCCTTTGTGAACTTGGAGAAGATGCAATGGCTAGACGAAGACTTTGCTGCGATAGCTCGGGAACGCAGCGACAACCTTCTTCGGGAGCTGGGAGGGCCATTACTGAGTGCCCGTGGGAGTATCTCGAATCCTACAACTACCGCCCCACCATCTGCGCCGGCTCTAGTACCCCAAGTGCCCACCGCACCGGCGCCGGCTGCATCAACCACTACGACCTCCCCATCGAAACCAACAACAAACGGCGACCTCGCAACCGCCCCACCCAAAGACCCCATACCCCCCACTACCACTATTACAACCACCACCATCACGACGACAACAACCGGATCCCCCGCCTCCTCCGAGAACCCCCCGCCCCTCACGGCCACCACCGCCGCTGAAGACATGGACTTGGATCCGCCTCTCGCAGCCCCGCTAAAAACCGAGCCCTCCACCCCGCCCACACCCCCACCCCGGCGCATGGCCACACGCTCGACCCAGAACTCCCACCCCACCACACCCCCCCCAATCTCCCCCCACCATCACCTGCAAGAGATCGACCCCTGGTTCTTCCCGCCCACCTTCCGCGTCGACCCTGACTTTGGCCTTCCCGCACCCGAAGCCGCTGAGACGCGGCACCTCCTCTCATCTGCCGTCCAGCACCAGGACGAGTTCCTGCGCGGCCTGAATAAAGTCCGCGAAGGCCTCCTACGCGCTGAGAGGTTTAGGAAGTACGTTTGGGGGTGGTGTAGAGCTATGGAGGGGACAAGGGAATACCTTGCTGCGGGAGGAGGAGGAACGGAGGAAGGCGGTGTGGATGCGGAGGTGGAGGCTGGCGCCACCTTAAGTGATGGCGAGGACTATTATGATCCTGTCGAATGGGGTCTTGAGGAACCCCTGGAAAAAGGCAAAGAAGAGGAGGAGGAGAATGGCGGGGAGGTGGTCAGTGCTGGGAAGAAGACTAGGGGGAGGAGGACTGTAGGCAATTGATATAATGGTCATGAGAGGGGAGATGCTTTTTCGTACTCGTTTTGCTATATACTTTCCTTCCTTCCCTCCTGCTTTCGTTCGGTCTGGTTGGTTTACTCTTTGTCGCTTTGCTTCACTTCACTCCGCTTCCTTTCTCTTTGCTACCGCCCAGGCTCTCATTTCTTTCTCATTGCTTAGTCGTTTCTCCAAGCTGTGGCATACTTTACACATACCTATCCATCATTATACTCTTGCCTTGTGGAGGAGAAAACCTTGGCAGATCCCACGTGCGCCCCGCCTCACGACATGGAAATGATCTTCATGCAGGAATCTCTCCCTCCCTCCTAAACCTGTCCTACCTATGCAATGATCTGGTAAACGAGTACCTGCGCTGCCATTTCTGCTATGCTACGCTATTACTATGCCGTGCCGGTACGGGAGGTAGACTGGAGTACGGTATACCGGCAGTGTACAGTACCACACATTGGTGAGCAAACTTGGCTGTAGGTATAAATTCTCCATATTTTCCGTTTCGCCGACGAGGAAATTGAGCTTAGGGTCAAGGCGAATGTGGTGCTGGCAAGAGGAAGGAAACAAGGGATTAAAATGGAATCAACATCTTGGCTAGACAACCCTTTCGATACTTCGAGAAATATCGATCCTGTCCACTCAAATAGTCCTCCCCCCACCTTGAATGAGTAAATAACATCCTCGATAGAACCTCCATCCGATCGCCTCCAATTTCCGAAATAGAGAGAAAGGAAAAAGAAAGGAAAATAAAGGAAAAGGCCTACAGCCTATACCCCCCCCACGCCATACGCCCTTCCAAATATTCAATACTCACACATCTCGGATTTTCAAGGAATCGTTGGCTAGGAATACGGTCCCAGGGGGTACCAAAGACTGGCCAAAGGGGAATTGCGCAAATTTCCTATTTTGCCAAGTTAGCTTTTCGAACGAAGAGGGAAAAAAGGGGGAGGGCGGGAGGAACGGGGAGGGGAGGGAGTGCAAACATTGGAAGAACATGTACGCTCGCATTTATACCATCCCGACCAATCCAGCCATAGCATTAGTGCTTCGACGTCTTCTTTCCATTTGAATAGGTGATGGTGGTGATTATCGTATTCATCACCGCTCTCATCCTCACCATCTTGGGTGAGAGTGAGAGGGGGGTGCTCTACGATCTCGGTATACATTCCAAAAGAGAATTTGCAAATTCTCGACAGTACGCCTTCAACCGAGTCCACTAAGAGTTTTTCCGATATGCTTAGGCGGGTGACGTTTAGTCTTCCGGTGTACTCCTCTACACATCTAATCTCAGCGTCTTCGGCGCTGGAACCGGTTTCGTAGAATGGCATTATGAGTGCATGTGAAAGCGCGCGGAGTTTTCGGTAGAGTTTAAACGGGGGTATGTGGAGGTAGGGTGTGTTCAACAAAGTGCGGAGTTCAAGTAAACGGGTCAAGTATCTCCTCGCGATGCCATTGGAGACTTCTTGCCAGTCAGTGCCGGAGCAGTAAAGATCTTTATTCGAAAGGTTGTCTTCTATCTGCTTCTTTATCGCTTCTGCTTGGGAATGAGTGATGTTTAGCAGACTATGGCTGCGCTTTGCGTTGAGAGCGCCTGGCGGAGTTAGGCCTCGTATCGAGACATTGTAGAATGTTGTCATTCTACAGGTGTCAAGTTTAACCCGAGCTTCGGGGGAGCCAAAGTTCTAGGGTATAACAATTCCATTAGTATATATCGAAGGGGGCTGAAAGATGAGCATTCCCACCCATGAAGCACTTCGCATCCATTCCCAAGAAATCTCGTTTGCATACTTAGACACTTGATGTGGGAATCGTGGGTTGTATGGATCGTGTGGGGGTTCTCCGGGCTTTCCGTGCTTGGGCGGTGGATGAGGGCAATCCTTTCCAGGATGGCCATTCCCCCCACGTGGAGGACGACCCTGCCCAGGCGGGTGATGGTGGCCTCTCTCGTACGGAGGCCACTCACGTCTGTGTGGATAAGGTCCAGCTCCTCCTCTAAAATGACATCCTCTGCCATGATCTCTACCTGGAGGGTGGTGGCGTCCACATCCGGGCAGCCCATGATGGGGATGATCTCCGGGTGGCCCACGATGCCCTCTCCCGGGAGAATGTTCAGGATGTCCTTCATGCCTAGGGGGCTCAGGAACCTTCGGAGGTTCGGGGCGACTGGGAGGCTCAGGGAACTTAGGGGGCTCAGGAAGATTGGGAGGTTCAGGGCGCTTTGGGGGCTTCGGATGTTTAGGAGGCTTTGGGTGGTGGGGAGGCTTGGGATGCCCGGGACCTCCATGCCCCGGACAATGCGGATGCCCCGGACAATGATGTCTCCACCTGGGGGGCCACCAACTTGGCGGCCACCACCATCTCCATTTTCTATGCCCATGACAAGGCCCATGCCCCGGTTTCGTATCTTCCCCCTCCGGTTCCTCCCTTGTCACATTCAACCTTGAAACCAACTCCAACCCCACCCCAAAATCACACCAAAAAACCTCACTACACTCGTTAGCAAACTCCCTTACATATTTCCGGTATCATAAGGTTTGGCTCAAACTCACAAGCCGGAATTCATCCGCACAAACCCTTCAACCCCAAACCCACTCCCCCATTCGCACAGCTCCTTCATCCTTGTATAATCGTACTCTACCGGACCCTTCTCCCTGGTGTCATCGTTATCACCGCTATCAATGCTATCCTCCAGATGCCGGGGCCCCCGAGTATGAACTTTCCCATGCAGAATTACGTCCTGAGCATCTGTCCCACCAGGAGCCAACACCGCGCTTCCGCCGTCAAAATATACTATTTTCAGTTCCCTCGTGGTGGCGTAAGTGTTTAGGAATAATTGTTTGACGCGCGGTGCGAAGATGCCGTATGACATTTCACTATCTCAAAATTAATTACAAGCAGGTCGGGAGGGGAATGGGAGGGAAACAAACGAATCAAAAGCCAACCACTCCATCTTCGGCGGGGCATCTCCATCCCGGCGTGCGTGGTATAGCAATGTTTGTGGAGGGATGACTCCAGGAACGACGGAGAATCCCACTGGAGCGTATACATTTGCCCATTGTGAGAGAAGGCCTTGCAAAGATGTGAATATGAAGGGGGAGTTATCCTCCTCGAGGGTGGTGTTTGTCTCTATATGTTTGGTGAGAGGGAATTGCTCCGCGGCGGTGTATTGGCTTAGAAGCAGGGGTATGAGGAGGATTGGCTTTGGGAGTAACATTGCTGCCACTGGACCATAAGTTTCTCTAGCACAGCACACAGAAACAGAGGAAGAGGAGCAAGTGAAGCGGTAGGAAAGGGTGGGGGGGTGATATTTCGAACCTGTTTTTATTGTATCCCATAGTTATCCCATACAGTTCAACTCACGATCCGACACGATGTGTGGGGTAAATTAGAGACCCCCAAGGCCGCGCGGACACCAATGCATCCAATGAGGATTGCTTGATGCTTAACAAGGGGGGGGACATTTTTTTTATGTATGGGTGGGGCCACTCAATCTTCCTCGATCCCTGTTTGGCCCAATAAGTCTTTCCGAGAATCGTTTGCGGGGTTGCCAATGCCGCGTGTACAGTACAGTACTAGTACTTGTACAGTTCAGCACAGTCGAAATAACAGGCATCGATGCAGGAGCCTCAGTACTCGAGTACCGGTACCGCTCTATCTTGAATACGAATTAAAGCTTGGCTCCCCTTGCATGATTTTACCGGTACTCGAGTACTTGACATCTGTGAGGGTAAACAGCGTAATCAATAGCTTCGCTATCATCGCCCTTCTTCATCGCCGTTTCCCCACTTTCCCCATCCTCTCCAATTCCACCAAACGGGAGGAGGAAAGGTACGTCGACGGGGGCAGGGGGAGATAGCAGGGCCTTTGGGTCCGCGGCATTTCTTTTCTGATGGGTTGGTGGTATGATAACATAACATAAATGGCATTGACATCGACAGCATTCAGAATTATTGCATGGTCCAGAGTAACGGGGGGAAGTTCCGCGTTTTTTCTTCTCTTCTTTTTTTTTTTTTTGATGATAATGCAACAGTAGACGTTCGACGAACAATTCACGAACGCTGATTTTGTTGCTCTTTTACTCTCCGGCCGCCTCACTTTACTTGCGGTGAGGTCCGAATTCTCTCCTATCTACTGGTACTATATGTCCCCGTCCCCGACAACGATCGGCAACCAGACACCCAGTGTCAGCGTTGGGGGGTGATCTGGGCCCTAATATGACTTCTTCGCGCGTCTCTCGCTTATTCGGAGTTATATGGCACGCAAAGATGGTTCCGATGCAATGTGCGAGTGCTCCGTATGTTTACGCGGCTTGTCTGTTGGACTGCTTCTATTCATGGATTAGGAGGACTGCTGGGGTTAGCCTAATTTCTTTATCGGGGTTGTCTCCAGTCGTGTCGTGTCAGAACCGTGGCTGAGGTCATGTTTTATCACTCGTGACTGTCGCATTGGCCTATCGAGTTTAATTTACGTGGCCCACGACACAGTGCGGCAACTTGCCCTGAATTTGCCTAGCAGAGCTAGCTAGGCCGGTGACAGGGATCACGAATTGTAAAGAGGAACGGGGGGTATTCGGGATGCTTTGGGGATCGATCAAACAGAGCTCAGCCTTCACACTTATGGTGCAGGGGCTCTGCTTCTTTGTACCAAGTTTTATGGTTCGGAATAGTTAAATTTACTGTTTTGTGGGATTGTGCTGTGAGAGCCCTCTCCTGAAAGGCCCCGAGTGGGGGCGTTCGTCCTTCCTACCAACTACCACAATAACGCCAGTCTATAAAAATAACATAAAAACCGCTGATGGATATATCACAGGATGGAGAACGGTTGGCCGCGTGGAAAAGGGGTCCGCGGACTCGGCCGTAATGTCCCTGTAAGCCAAGCACGTACGTTCCCTATGCATGGTACTACGGAGGTACAGCCCATAAGTATTGTATATTCCACTAGCAGGGGGGCGATGCGCTTGCAGGGAGGTGAAGTGCTAGCAGGGTGCAACAGGATGGATTAGTGATAGTGGCTTTAGGTTTGTGTGGGCCTTGGCCTGCGTGAAGGTGAACCCATGAAGGTGAATGTACGAAGGTGAATGATTTCTATTCTCTATCGGTAAATACAAATTTAATATTTGGTAAAGAGGCCATTTGCGTCAATGACTGCTTGACATCTTTCTGGCATGCTTTCTATCAGCTCCCTATACTCATGCTGCCCAACACTTTCCCAAGCCTGTTTGACTGCTGCCCTCAATCTATCATATATCATAGTTTCAGGAAAATTATCTTGTAGATAATTTTTCATAATATGCCATGCTTTTTCAATAGGATTTAGGTCTGGGGAGAATGCAGGCCAGTGAATAACTGGAATACCTCTTTCTTGAAGATCCCTTGCTGTGTTACCAACTGCATGCCCTGGTGCTCCATCCTACATAAGACATAAAGAAATTCCCTCTCTATAACACAATTCAAGATACCCATGAATAATAGGAATAGTATGTGCACAGTAACTTTCAGAATTAATAGACCCTTAGTCCTTCTCCCAAAAAATTACTGGCTCTTGAGTCTCTATGAAAGTAGACGTAAAACATACATTCTCTCTTCCTTTGGTGCTTCTCTACTATACAAGTAGGGTCCCACTCCTCCCCTGGCCTTCTTGCCACCCAAGTCCTTGTATACCTTGCTCCTGTAATCCAGGTCTCATCAGTCCATAAAATAGAGTACCATTGCTGCATTGACCAGTTGACATGGTCATGAGCCCATTGTAATCTAATTACTTTGTTGGGTTCTGTAATAGGAGGTTTCGTCATCACTAGGTGCTGGTGAAAGCCTTCCTTAATTAAAGCTGATCTGATGGCAGATTTTCCAACCCTAAAGTCCAACTCTTCAGCCAATTGTTGAAAGGAGAGATGCCTATTTGTTGGAAATTATGTTATTCCTTTCCTATCCGGTGATGGGTCTGTGTTAGTCATGTGCCACAGTCACATGACCAAGTATATATGCTATTATATTCTAGCATCTTCTATTGTATTCTAGTATCTTTTAGAGATTTTCTTGGTATGAGGCAGTGCTCGTATAATGATAAAGGTATATATGAAAGGCAGGTTCAGCCCTGTTCTCAGAGAGAGAGTGCAAGCTTGGATTAATCTTTAAGTCTTCAGATTATATTGTAATTATTATTGTTACTTTGTTATCACAATAGTTAGTACAATAGATACAAATATTTTTACTATTCCTGAAACTCATGTATACATATGCAATAAGGTCCTCAAACTAAGCCTGACTAAGAATGGGAGGCCAGCCAGGTTATTTTTTTTGGGGGTAGGCAGAAAAGTGTATGTATACTGAATTTGCCATCAGCAAAATCCAGTCCTTTCTTGAATCTGTACATACTTCCAACCTAGGGAGTGGAGCAGTTGGCAATCCCTTCTCTGATCATGAGTGAGATCTAAAGTCTTCAGGTTCTTGGCGTTTTCATTCCTGAGGATTATGTTCTCGGTGTTCTGGTTTGGAGGCATTTCTTTCTACAATATATGTAGTACTCGTTACTGTGCAGGATATTAAGACTATATCTGTTAAAGTTTCTTGCTGAGAATTAGCATTTATGATCTATTCAGCTGTATAATTCACATTATACATACTTAATTTTGACCAACCAAACTAGACTTCACATTTCACAGTCTTTTCAACACACCTGAGTATGTTCTGAAAGTTCTAGTTAATGATTTCTTAATTAACTAAGAAGTAAGGGCAAGAGTTCTTAGAAGCTGAACCGTAATATCTTAGAACCGTAGCAAAGGCAAAGTTCGTGAAAAAACTTTTACCAGTGTTCAAGATCTCCAAGTGTCACAAATGTGGCTTGGCATGGAAAAGATTTTCATGTGATACATGGTTATGAGTCACAGGTATGTTGTTGTTTTGCACATATAACTCATTCGGGTTATATGATTTGTTATGTGTGGGATTTGTGATGCTTTCGCACATGGCTCAAGTATGAGTCATGGGACGTGCGCTTGGCGAGTATGCCTTGTGAGTGTGCCTCGTGGGTAAGCCTTGTGCATATGATTTATGTTTCACACATGACCTCATTATGAGGTCATGGGTTTCGCGCATATAACTCAGTTGAGTCATATGACTTGTTTATTGCGTTATGATTGGTTTATGAGTTTTTGTACATGACCTCGCTATGAGGTCATGGGTTTTAAGTATGTAATAACTTTGGTCACATGACTAGTTTGTTATGATTTGGTTTCGCACATGTGACCACTTTAGGTCACATGACTATGAGGGGGAAGAATACTATATAAGGAGGCCGAGGCGGCCGTGGAAGATAGGTTCTTCACGCTTTGTTCTAAGTACTTTTCCTACTTATTACTTTAACGAATATAAAACGTCTTTACAATCTTTATCGATTTGCACCATTATTGTTACGCCAAGAAAAGTCCTTCACGAAGACAAGTTAGAGAAAGCTTACGATAGGCGTTCCCGATAGAAGACAAAGGTCTTGTACTATCGGTAACGTAGGCAGAGGCCTAGAGCTATCATAAGACAAAGAAAGAAGAAGACAGAAAGAGAAGTATCATTCCCCGTCGCCAAGAACTAACTATCCAAAGAGGGATTATTACACCAAGCCACTATTCCCAAATAGCTTCCAATTAGCTATCCTTCCTTCTTGCTAGTACATTATTACCCAGCAAGTACACCACCCCCTACTAGTGGAATATACAATACTTATAGGCTGTACCTCAGTATACAACTGTATCATAATACATGGAATAGTGCCGGTGACTGCACGGTATGAATACCTATAGTATCTTCACATCTAGTGATGTGATACTCGAACACTATGGTTCTGGCTGGAGTAGAGATCAAGTCACTTTATGGGGTTACCCTGATAAGTGGGCTGTAATCTAACTCAGTAGACTACGAGTACTTACCTGTGTCACTCGAGTTCCATAGTTGAAACCCACTCTCCAGATAATAAAAGTCGGCCATAGTCATCTGTAAAAAAATAGCTCTCAGGAGGTTGGCATTGGAATAGAATATTAATAATGGTTAAGGTCTCCCTCCGATGCCACCATAGCTTGCCAAAATTATGTGAAGATAATCAGATAAGGATGGGGAAAATGTGCAAAAACCTGTGCATGATTAATTTTTTAGTGGATTTTTAATCCATTATACTAGGACAGGGTCGAAAAAATTGGAAACTTGTGATGGCAAAACAGGGAATACGTAGATAATCTATGTAGCAATGGGTGAAAAGAGATCAGATTGCAAGACAGCTTAAACTAGTGTTTAAATACCAGGTTGCACCATGTGGTCAGATATATTCAAGTACTACTAGTAATGAGTAGGGGTGTTACCATCAAGGCTGCATCTAATAAGTAATATTAAAATAATAGGAATTCTTTAAGTATTGAGTTACAAG